AGATAAAGAAGAAACATGAATTTTTTTTATTCATTCAAGGCAAAGTACTGAAGGATTTTTAGGGCTATGCAATAGTCAAATTTCATAGCTTTAAGTTTTATATTTGTTCCCCCTCCATTGTTCTACCTGCAGGATTTTCTAATTCTATTTTTCATGCCTGAGCACCTCCTTTGCAATTGGAGAAAGTGTCTGTAACCGACATGCAGTGTTTAGAGCTTGGGCAGAGCTCTGTCCCTGGGATTCAGTGACCCAGGCTCTGGGACATGAAAGTCTCTCTATTTGGATGTAACTTTTGCATTCTGGAGTAAGATTTAACCCTAGCTTCCTCTTTGCTCCTGGCATTTAGTCTCCCAAAATGTTCACTTTGGCTGAACTCTCTTTTGCTTAATTCTTCTAAAAATAATTAGAGAAACTGATCTTCATTAAAGCCCCTAGTCCTCAACTTGAGACCTCACATCAATATTTGTGACCCCATATCAGTCTTACTAACTTCTCATGTCAAGAAGGGCAATAACCTCCAAAATCAGATGCTTTCAAACATAAGCAGTCACCCCAGGGGTTGCTGCATCCCCTCCCAGGGTTCCTCAAGGTCAATGCTATTTTTGTAGAAAATACAAAGTTGCCGTTTGGGTTTTTCACTTTCCTTCTCACATGAATGCACTGGAGTTTTCCAGAGGATAAATGATGTATGAAATTGCAACAGACTAAATACCTGAGCAGATATGCAGATCCAACTGCTACTAATTAAGCCAGATATGAGTAAGATTCACAGAAGTGTAAAAAAAAATCACTCACGTCGCCAAATGTCTTTTTTATTGTGAAATGTATTTGTTATAAAAATGTTACTTATGTGAACGTATAGCAGGCTTACTATTTCTAACAAATGAATAAATGATGCATGCTTTAAAAAAATCATTGGCTTTAATGTTTGAAATTATAAACATTGAAAAATAACTAAAAGCTGTTTGAAGTCCTTCATAATCTTAATAACAATCCTTTATAAGATGTCTTAATAATTGTTAAGACTCTTTTGGAGTCTTGAGATGAAAGTGTTTGTAACTCTTGGATGGAAACAGTTGTCCTGCCTATAACAGCTTCCCTTTGTAAACTAATCGACTGTATTCACTGAACTGTTTATGTCACTAACTAGCTAAAACAGAGTGACTTCACAGTGACCACCGAATAGACACAGGGCTCCACCTGCAGGAGAATTCCCCCATTGTCTCTCTCTTGCCAGTCCTGCCCTCCCGTCAGGACAAGCACATGCAAATTCAAGACCAAGGCCTCGGTGATTCTAGCAGAAAAGCTACAAGGAGCCCCTGTGAGACAGAGATAATGAATTACTGCCAGGCAGGCAAGGAAGAGCATGGAAGATGCCAGCTCTGCGGTCCTTGTCCAACAACCCAGAGGGGTAAACCCAAATCATGGGTCCAGGTTAACACAAAGTAGGGTCGCTCCCTGCTGCGAAGCCACTTCCAGAGGGTGGCTGTATGACTCTGCAGTCTGCAGCTCCACTGCAAGGCTCTGGCAAGACCTCTCAGGAGCTGAGGAGAAATCATGTTTCCTTCCTTCACAACCTTCCACGACAGCTCAGAATGCCTGTGGGAGGTGGAGCAGAGCAACTCTCACAAGGTCCCTGAGCTCCCTGGTCCTGGGAGTGGGTATCCGGCTGAAACTCCAGTTATCCGTGTCTCCAACCTTTGCCTCTGTGGCTTGTGTGACTAAATCACTGGGACCCCGCAGAGGGGCTGTAACCCTGTACGTCTCCCAGTCTTCCTTTATATATTGCCTCTATACAAAGTTGCTTTCTGTTTTATGTAAATGCACTGTCTTTGCTCTGTTATTGTTGTTATCCTTATAAAACTTACCTTTTCCAGGGCTAGGGATTTAGCTCAGTGGTGCCGCCGCCTGCCTTGCAAGCGCAAGGACCTGAGTTTGATCCCCGGTACCAAAAAAAACCCACAAAAAACCTTACCTTTTCCTGATCTACGGATGTGCAGTCTTTGAGGGTTCAGGATAATTTCTAATTCCTCAGATGTTGGATGCTCCCAAATTAAAACTTTCTCTCATGGGCGATATTCCATTGCATTTTATCTGCATCTTCTATTACTGCTTTTTCTTGCCACTTTGTACTTCATGTTGCTTGTACTCATTTTCTTTCCACACTAATTGACTAAAGACCTTCAACTAAAGGGACCCTGTCCAGTTCACCATTATCCTTTTCAAGGACAACACAGTTTCTTCAACTGCACATTGCTTAACAAGTACTCATTCTGTGGATGAATCAGCAATATTTAGGGCTTTTAGGATAAATATAACATCCATGATAAATATGAATAGGCACCAATTTTCTTACATTCTACACAAGATTTATTATGACTACTTTATTATCATTATTATTGTTGTTGTTGTTGTTAGTAGTAGTAGTAGTAGTAAAGTTGCATTCTGATGGGGTTTTTAGGTTTAAGAATTCATAACCAAGCATTGCCTGTTTCTTCTTACATTTCTATGGTCACTGCTACTTGGGTAAGAAGAGCTGCTGTAAGTAGAACTCATTCTTCTAAACTAATCTTCTCTCATGAATTCTTTGAGAGCAGAATTCTAATAGTTTCAGTTCATCTGCTGAGGAACAGAACCCCACTAAGAACTAGCCAGAGGAGACTGACTGTTTACTGCAACTAGTTCAAGCAGAGTCAGTGCATGTGGGAATTATTCCCCAGTTCTCAGACCTCAGAAATGAGACCTCAGGAGCAATCATACCACAAGAAAAAAAACGGGGGTGAGTGTGGGGGTGGGGTATTATAATTGAAGAAAGATGTCAACCAGGCAGGTGTCACAATGGACAGGGGTCATTTCATTACCAGCATTACTAGACTGTCAAAGTTACTGTTCCCCTCAAGAGGAAATGGTATTTCACTTTCCTCTGGCACACTACGAATGAATAGACACTAACAACTGAACAGGCTGCAGACACACCGCTGTTCTTAGAACACAGGTACAAGGAGCCTCGGTATTCCTGGTAAAAGACTCTTCCTCGGATTATTGGGTAGGTAGTCTTTGAGGAAGTGAGTTCACCAAGTAAAACTTTATACCACAGAACTGTTTCACCATGGAGTGGCGCCACCATCAGGAAGTTTAACAGCAGGACTACCACTGCTACTAACTAGACTATGGTACTACTACTGCTACTAACGGCCTTGAGAGGCCAGAGTTGATCTTTGCTTCCAAGTACTATATTTTCAGTTGCTTAGGTATTTTCTTAAGCCTTAGGAGCTGTTGATTCTTAATGAAAAGTTGGTCTTCGTGATGCTAGGTAAATTTCAGTGTAGCTTCCTGTTCTTAAATATATTGAACTCTAAAAAAAAAAACTTACTTGGTTAGATCATGGCTTGTTTTTTACATTTCTTTTTTATGAGATGATTTACCTTATCTCAATAAATACTATTATCTGCCCAACATTGGACTTCAAAATACATTTTATTTTTTCATCTTGGTACAATTGATATGTACTATGTTACTGATTTTATTATTAAAAACAAGGAAGGTAGATTGATACCAAGTGCTCCATAGATACACATATTGTACTGAGTTTTCCACACTTACCCTATACCAATTCCTTGCTATTTAGCTATTATTTTCCTGAATTATGAAATAATTTGCAAAAGTATTACTTCAATGACTGTATTTTCTATTTAGTGGATATACAACATATTTTTCAATGATTTCCTACCATTAAGAGTACACTGTTTAATGTTTCCATCATTTAGAAGTATTAAACAATGTCATGGTAAATTATACATTTATAATTTTGCATTTTTCTCTTTGGGTTCCTAGAAACAGAATTACTACATCAAAAGGCATGCTGACTTTTGTAATGGCCTAGATTCTTTTCCAGGTTGCTTTGTTAAAATGTGTTTCTAGCTTACCATTCTATGAAAATGGACTGACTTTCACATTGTTATAGGCACTGGTTAATATTTTAATAAAATATCTTTGCTGACCATATAACTGCCTCTTGTGGATAAATTGTCATTTTCAAGCATGTTGGTCCATTACTGCATCATGGAAATATAGTCAGGATACCAACACAGCACTCTATGGCTCGCAAATCCCTTAAATGGGAAATTATTAGTGAATGTCTACTGTTCTAAGTCCTGAGCCAGACAATTGCCAACCAGGAAACAAATAATCTACCATTTGTAAGTATCAACACATGGTTCATTATTATGGTTCTAATTTCAGTAGTAGTAAGAGAGTTTCAAATTTGAGTTAAGGAAGAAGCAAAAAGACTAAGGAAATAAGAGATAAAATATTCTAAGAAAAAAATTTACACTAAGACACTTCCATTCTAAAATAAATGAATGTTTTTCAGGAAAAACCTCTTGTTTTTATTTTCAGGTGATAGAGAGGTTATGGCCTAAATGATAAAAAAAATAATAAATTTCTCAGGTCTTAGCTGATTGTCCCTCTATTAAAAATCAAATGTGTGTCAGTTGACCATTGGATACACACTACTGCAGAGTAGCTATAAATGTAAAGTGTTTGTCAGTAGTCCATGAGCAATATCAACCTATTCCTTTTCCATTACAATGGAGAAATTTGAGTATCTGTACTGGAAAGTGCAATGCTGGTTACTTGGGCTAAATTCCTGGACTTCAGTTTTATTTATGGACACACATCATAGATTTACTCAGTTTGACCTTTTATTAAAAGTTAGTGACTTCTGTAGGCATGACAAAATCTCTATGCAAATTATATATGTATGTTTTCTTACATTTTTTGTGTTTCTCATGCTTCAAAAAATGTTCTCTTCTGGACTCATTTAGATACTCATTCTTTTGAAAATGGTAATTTCTCTTAGGCTTTATATTTTAGAAATATTTCATACAGATAATCCATTTTGCACAAAATTATCTCAGTGTTTATGAAAATTTTTATGATATACTCAGTTGCTGATTTATTATATCTGTTTTACCAGTAATTTATCTTTGTATTTTCAGATTCCAAGAAAACAGAAACACTCACAGAAGGTACTGGAAATATTTTCTTTTTATGACTTGTGTGTGATAAGCCCTAAAGTAGTATTTTTCGGAAAGGATTAACATAGAAGAAAATCTATATTTGGGACAGATGAGAAGGGAGGAGTATCAATTTTTTCTGGTGGTACTGCTATGGAAAGTATTTGGCAGTAATAAAAAATTACTGTATGATTTTATCTTTTACAGTAAGATTTTTCTCAAAGAAATCTTTGTTTTATATGCAATAGAACAATGCTAACTACTTATGTTACTAGATCATATACAGTGCATTAAGTCTGGATACACTAGGATCATTACGAACTGAAGTGTTTCTTTAAATCCTGAATGGGACCCTAACCCATTTGGCAAGGACAGACTGTATTTTCTGGACTTGTTCACAGTTTTCTGGGTGAACAAAGGGTTTAGCTGTTGAATGTGCTCATGTAAGAAGGCTACCACTGGTGAATAATTTAAAATAGTAAATGAGTATATTTAGCTCAATTCATTGTCAGGTAATGCCTTTCCATTGAGTTATGATGCAACACTGTAATACTTGGCAGTCCAGCATGTCAGAGCCACACTCACCGTAAGGGGAACATGAAAAGAAAGGTCAGGAAACTTGCATCTAATCCAAGCATAGGTAGTAAATTTTACCTTTAAGTCTTTTAAGAGCAACTGTTTTCTTTTCTTATTTCTTTCAACAGAACAACCCAAGGGAAAAAGTAAGAAATGCATGCACAGTCAGTTTGTGTGCGCTTCCTCTCTCTCTAATGCCATTACTGCCCTCCTGGTTCATGCAGGCCTGCAATTTTAAATCTCTTTTTCCTATGTTTTATGCATGTGGAGTCTGTTTGTTATTGTTTTGTCAGAATGAAGAATATACAGCTCCTCAGGCCAGAGTGGGCTGGAGAGGACAGCAGGCATTCTCAAAGCCCTTTTTCTAACTCAAGCAGGAGTCTAGTAACACTACCCACTGGCTTGTAACAAAAAACAGCTGCGCTTCCTTAGCCCACAAGGTGTTCTGTTTGTGTAAATGTAGTCCTCGTGACCAAGTTAGTTTTCAGTTCTTAGGAAATGTGTACAAAATATTTTCCAAGTTAGTTTCACAACCTCTTTCCTATTAACCTCCTTCTTAAATCCTATAGAAATTTTGACCTGTCACATGACATAGGACATTTTGTCTCTCCCGTGACTTTCTCCCTATAAGGACTGGGAGCTCTGAGTAATAACATTGCTTAGGATCTGTGTTTTAGGCTTTGACACACTATTAAAGCTAGCAATTATTTGCTAGCAAATCAGTTCAACTCAGTGCCTTGAAGTTGTGGCTTTACAAATATGTACTCTCCCTGTAAGAATAAAACAGTATACATTTAACAAATGTAAAATTTAAAAAATAAACAATTTATCCTTACTCCATTAGCCATTAAAAATTAGTGCGTTTCCAGAAGGTGGAGATTTTTAAGCTCCCAATGATATTAAAGATATTTGTTTTAAAGTACACACTAGTTTTAAAAAATGTTTATATGTGTTTTAGCTCTACAAAAAGTTAGGACTCTGAGACATTCTATGCCATAAAAATGCTTTAAAATGTCTTGTGGGGAAAAAAATCATGAAATTATGCTAAAAGCCAGCCAGAGGGAGCAATTTATCTGTGGAGAAAGACGTGTTCATTCGTGGAGTCTGGATTTAGGCCTGTGCACAGCTGCTGATGGACTTGGCACCACATAAACACTTGCACCAGCAGGAGAGTGGCAGACAACTGGAGATTTGAAAATGCTATTAAATAATATATCTATAACCTTAGGGCCCTCACTTCACTGCAGTTTATATGATTTAGAGGCTCCTGCAGATGCACTGCACAGCTCCTCAGCAATTTTCAGGGCATTGATGTGTTTAATAAATAAACGAGTCTTCTCGGGCTCATTTGTGACCTAACTGCTTCTCAGTAAGAAGGTGTGTGGACCATGCTTAGGTGGTGGCTAGGAGAAGAACCAGCTTTCTTCAGTGCAGCCGTGAATTCTTTGGTAATGGATTCATTCACTCTGATTGGTCATCCGCACTGATTTTCATTGTTTTTCTTATGCTTTTGGATTTATTTGCTTTGGTATTTCTGTCTTCAAGATTACTGCCTCCCATTCCACACCATTACCTTATGTTTTGCTTCTGCTTTTTCAGTTATCATGACTTAAAAGATAGTTCTTTTTCCAGTTTAAAAGTACAACCACTATGGAAATCAGTATGTAGATTGTGCAAAAGGCTAAAACTAGAAATTTCATGTGACTCAGCTATTCCTCTTCTAGATATCTTACCAAGAAGTTAAAGACATCAGGCTATAGAGATACATGTAGCACAATTCATGACAGCTAAATCTTGGAAGCAGCCTGTATGTCCATCAACAAATGAACGGATAAAATATATGTGGCGTTTATACACCACGCAGCACTACTTGGTCATAAATAATGACAAGTTTGAGTCATTTGTAGGAAAATGGGTGCAACTTGAGAGCTCAATATTAAGTGAAATAATTAAGACACACAAGCTTAAATATCACATTTTCTCTTATATGAGAAATACCAATTATAAATAAAGATCAAAATAAAAGATAGATAATGGAAGTAGGTGGATAGATGTACTCCAAGGGGGAGGCAGATCAAGAGTGGGAATGGGAGAGGAGGGAAAAGGAATGGATGAAGTAATTAAGATGTATTGTGCACGTGGACCAGATCTGCCCAAGGAATGTGGATATTATGTACTGCAAACATGGATAGATAGAGATATAGATATACATATAGAGATAGAGATAAAGATAGATATAGATATGGGATACAGGGTGAAAAAGTATTTGGACCCTTCTCATACATTTTGAAATTTCTTTACTCTATAAAATTTTCAAAAGTAAAAGTAAAAAAAAAGAGATAATTCAAGCAATCACTCACAGGTATGGATTGGCAGTCCCTGTGTAATTTGGTGGTAACCCATGTATTAAATGATGGCACAGTTAGATCTCAAGGTGTCCTACGGGACCAGCACGCTCAAGCCATTGTTCTTGCATATCCCTGCAGATTAGCACGGGCACTGCTTGTGTTACCCTACGCGTTCTAATAAGTTAGCAACACGTTTAACTTTGAACCTCACATATAACTAACATTCGGTTTTGTACCCAAATCTGTTTCCATTACCTTTTTTTGACGATTGTCATCACTTTAGAAGTGTCTTCAAATGAAGCCGGAAGTGCTGGTGCATGTCAGTGACTTCAACAATCTCAGAGGTTCAGGCAGGAGGGTCACGTGATCAGGGTCCGCCTGAGCAGCACAGTGAGGCCCCGTCTCAAAACCTTTTAAACATTACTTAGAAATTATTTTATAACTGAAGGTTTTCACTCAATATTTATTTACACAATACATATAAATACTCCTCCTTTGGCAGAGAACATTTAGTACTGTCTCCCTAACCTTTAATTCTAGCTAAGGTTCTTTTTTCCACTTGCTACTCTTGGTCAAGCCCATCATTTTATTTGTCTTACGACCCCTGGTTGTTATCTGAGAGGTGGAGGACTTGTTTATCAGACCGACACAACTAGAAGCCTGAGAAATAAAATTGCAAGATTGTTGCAATGACCACAGAAGATTCTGTGACACTTCATATTCCTAAAATCTAGTTTAGAGAATTCTTTCAGCATAAACATCATATAGTTTTCAAAATATTCATTAAGTGAAACTTTAAGAAGAATCCCCATTCTTTTTCTTTAAGATATCAGTTAGTAATGTTTATATAATAGCATTTCTTGAAAATATTCTTTTAACTTGACAAGCTTATTCAGTCAAAATAAATAAAAATAGAAATGCAGATAATAGCGTTTCATATAAAATTAGTGCTTACACTTCATTGGAAATTATACTCATTGGACTGTAAATGTCAGCTTCAGCATGAGGCTAGAAAATGCTTCCTGTCAAACAATATTGACCAAAGTGAGTTCTTAGAAGAAATGTTATCTAAAGAAAGTTCCCAGAGGAGCATTTGTACTAAAAACAATGCAAGTATGCTTTGCTCTCCCCTTTGCTTCTTTAGCTTAATGTCTTCAATCTGCCTTAAAAGCCATTGTTTTAGCTAAATAAATATCTCTTCCATAGAAGAAAGTTCTTAGAACAGGAAGTCCGTAGAAGATTGGCCCATCTTTGTCTTTCTGAGAATTACTTTAAAATAGCTCCAGTAGTTATCCTTTTTGTTGTTTTTTCATCACAAATTTATTACATATTGATTTTAAATAGCAAATTGAAATATTTCCAATTTTTATGGAGTTTTTTTCTTATTTTTATGATCTCTTATCAATGAAAAAAATGTGAATCTCTCTAATAGTAAAACACTTTGATGCTGCTCGGTGAGAGAACTCCCAAAGCAGAAGGAAGGGAAAAACTATTTTAAGTATCCAGTGTTAGTCTTATTGAGCTGCTGCAGGCCAGCCTCAGAGCCTGTGGCTCTGTTTATGTTAAATAAGGAACTTAAGACATGTGAAATTGTAATATTAATGTGACAATTATAATACTAACAGTAATAATATGTTGCAGAACAGGAAAAGAAAGAAAAACATGTGGAACCAGGTAATGGTTTTAAAATTTCTTTATTTTCTTAATTGCATGATTTTATTTAATTCACAACTGAATACTGAATTATGAATGAATGTTATGGAATGTTCACTGCCTCTCCTTTGTCTTCCTCATTACAGTAAAGTCACCGAAGAAGGAACAGTCAGGTGAGTGAGGCTGGAGCCATGGACTCTCTCTGCCTGATGGCTGTTGGCCACTGCACCCCCAGGTGTGTACAGCCAGTGACAACAAAGGGGCAGGAAACCACCCCGTCCCACAGTGTATTTTTCACATGCTGCGAGCAGACTTAACAGCAGTGTAGTTGTAGACCATGAAGGCCAAGTGCACTACACCCCAGCTACTCCGTGTGTGTCCCGTGTGCGAGCAGCATCGGATCGCCAGAGAGGTGAGACACACAGTCACTGAGCCCACCCCAAGCCTGCTGAGTTAGATCTGTGACTGCATGACGGACCCCAGCAGATTCTTCTGTGCCGTGTTTTAGAATCACCATTTCACACGTTAGCGTAAAAAAAGGTCAAAAATAAAACACAAACAAATCACTTTCTGTAAATGCATCTTATATTGCTTGGCTTTTCACATATGAAATATTCAGTTCCAGAAAATATTCTTTCCCTATTCATAATATTACTTCATAATATTTCTTGAGTACTTGGTAGACTTACTGTGAAATAGAGGTAGATTTGCTCTCAATATAGTTACAGAGAAAAATTGAAAGGAAAACCAAACACACCAACGAATCTATCAACAAAAGGCAAAAATGCAGTTAGCATGACTATCAAATCATTTTATTAAAACTTTTTAGCATTTAACTGCTTAGTCATTTCAAATGAAAAATTTTGAAACTTTTTCTACTGACTTCTTTTGAAACATTGACTTTAGCTGGCTAACTACTACTGAAATAACTTGAGTGGGAGGTGTGTGTGTGTGTGTGTGTGTGTGTGTGTGTGTGTGTAGGTAGTCATAGTCTCATATAATATCCATTAGCCATTCTTCCATTTCATCGTTCGAATGGCAACAGCATTTGCTCCATATCATGTAGATAACCATAGAACTATGGCTAATGTCACTCCTGCTAAAACCATGGCAAATGATAGTTTGAAGGCATTTTTATCATTCTTCTTCCAAGTTTGTAACACCTCCTAAGAGAACCCAAATTTATTCAGGTGTCACTCTAACTAGTTCTATAGAATCATTTCCATACCTTTATAATAGCATTTGATATGCTATTTTAATCACATTAACTTATTTACTTTACAGATTCAGAAATTGGAAGTTAGAGATTTTTAAAAAATCTCTTTACAATGCTTATTTATTTCAAGGCCACTCATTGGGTATCTGCTAATGGTTTATTAGGTGAAATGAGAAAGTCTAAATAAAATAGTAACAGTTTTTGAAATTTAAAGATGGAATAACTTGCAAATGCATAATTTATGAGATGCAATAATTGCACAGTTCACCATTTCACATTACCGACTAGGCTAGCTAGACTTTGGGTAGGAATGTTTCATCTACTTTGCTGCGAGCAGCCTGTTTGTTTAGGAACACATTGCCACCGGTGGGTCATCACATAGACTCACTCTGGCGCAAGCTGGCAGAAAGCTAAAGTAGAGCATTCGTCATAGAACCATAGAGAGGCATACAAAATCACTACGAATGTAACAGTTTTAAGAGATTCAGTAGCTAAGGATTGCTGTCTATTACTGCACATCATGAAATATATTAACAAACTGCTTGAAATAATTGTTCCTTTCAGACTGTCACTGTAGAGCAATAACTTAGAAATAATTAGTTGTATTTGAACAATTGAATAATTTACATCTTGAATTCATTCTTTTCAGACCATTTTATAGAAATTCAGGAAAATGTATTTGCCTGAATAAATAATTAGATTCTTAGATAATTTAAAATGGAAAACAGAATGAATGAGCCATCAGTAAGCATTCTGTGTTCCAATAAAATATATGAAGATCTACCCCCCAAAACTGTGGTTCATGGACTATGTAGAGGACGTATCAGAGAAAAATTGTAAGATTTCATTATCTCTTTTTCATATCAACTTCTCTTCACTTTCCAACATTATGCATAGTCTTTAAAATAGCTAAATTAACATTAAATATCTCTTTTAAAAAGATAAGTAGACTTACAATTAATGTAGAACTAATTCTTTCTTGTCATTAACAGCTCCAGCTGAAAAGCAAGGAAAAGCAAGTATGTTCAGCATAATTTTTTAAAAGCATATTCACTTGAGTGTTCTGCTATAGACTTTGCTAATATTGATTTCTGATGCTGGCTTAACAAGTATTTCTTGTATGGCATTTGCTATGTTGAAATACTATGTGAAATTACTCATCTTTAGCTTTTCTCTGAATTAATTCTTAGGAAAATTTACCTATGGAGATTTTATTTGTAAATTTTAATTGGTCCAAATTATTTGTTGTTATCTGTTTTAAATTGTTTATATTCTTGTCTTCTAATTTGCAAAATGAGCAAATTTCTAAGTTCCTTGAACACATACCCATTAGAATGTTTCATTATCCTAATGATTAATCATGATCACCTCAGTAGGCAACATTGTTTTCTAACACTAAAGTTGTGTCTTTAATAAAATGTGGCCTCTCTCAAATTTCATTAACTGCTAATGTTTTAGTGCCATGGTTTCCTTTTAAGGTTTATGTGATCAGACTATGAAATACTGACTGAAAACTATAACTACTCTGGCGTTTATGGCACCGATAGCCTTGACAACATATTTAGGGAGAAATGCTGATTTCATTGTTGAGTTGTCTTAAACTGATGGAGTACCTGACACATTGTCATTACAAAAATTATTTAAGCATAATGGCAAGTATTTTATTATAGAAAAGATGTAATTAGCTTCAAGTTTGAATGTAGGACTTATGGTCAAATCTCAGTTACATGCATGATAAAGTATGTTTCTCTTTTCCTTTTGGGCTATAGGTACATAAGTATGAATTGTGGCACTAATAAATAAGAGAGATGCATATTTTACTTAGTGTTGGGCTCTTTGAGACACAAAGTATCATTGTTAGGTATTTTATAAAATAACTAGAAAATTTATTAAGTTGCTTGGTAGATTTTTTAAGAAGCATTAGAGTTGAAATTGTTCACATACACATTGAGAACTTTTAGCATTCACCTGAAGTTCCATTTATATTTCTATGAAAAAATTTGAATTTAAAATTGAATGTAAAGCTAATTAGAATTCTATATGATGGGTTGTTTAGTATGCAAGTACTTAGTCTGAAGAAATGCATAATCAAGAAAATGTATAAAACAAAATAATTTTGCAGCCTTAGTAGAGAATTTCGATAGTAAATTACTGTAAAAACTAACGTTTTCCTACTGAGAAAATGTGCCACACAGATAAAAATATTCATCTGGAATAAAAAGAATCTGTAAGTTCTATCATCTACAAAACACAGGGTCTAATCAAGTTTTGAAGAGATCAGCATATTTTGGAGGAAATTAGCAAATTAAGTTCCTAAATCATTTAAACCCAATATAAAAATTTTGATAGTTAATATTCAGCTCTCTTTGAAATCGGACATTTGAACTTGGAATGAACATTATTCTTCAACATTAATTAATTAAAAATAATTTATAAATAATTTATAAACTGTTTAAATTCTCTGATCACAATGTGATCAACTATTTCCCCAAGTACAAACCTTTTTTTTTTTTCTTTTGGCACTGAAATCATTGTTTTCCCTTCCGTTTTGCAAGCCCTCCACACACCGGATTCTTCTGTCATTTCCTGTGGGCTTCTGCCTGTGCACGGGTAGCGACATGGAAGTTGACAGGGTGACGAGTCATTTCCAAACAGGGACAGAGTCAGACAAGCAGAGTTTTTAGTGTGGAGCATTTCAGGAATTTAACAGTATCCATAGTGAACCTTTAAAAGGGACTTAGTAGATACTGTTTTCTAAACAGAGTTGACCCTCGCCCTGCCCACCTTTGTCAGCGAACCCTCTGAGAATCAATGTTTTCAGGTCAGTTTAACTTTTGAACAGAAAATTAACCAGGAACTAGGCCAAAGTCTAGTCATTTTTAATTTTGGATCTAAATTTCCATCAAGTGGCAACAATCAGGCATTTTTCTACCTCTGGTTTTGGCCCTGCGCATGTGTTAAACTCACGCACCACGCCTGAGGGTTGTCACCCTAATCAAGCTTCAGAGTCTAACCGCGAGAGTCAGAGAGCAGTCAGCAGATGCGTGTCGGGATCATCCAGGGAAAGCCAAGAGGCAGAACAGAAGAATAAAGTGTATAGTTATCTAACATTAAAAGAACATTTTGGGACAATGTATTTTGGCAAAGTGGCAGTCTATTGGACTCAACTGAAATATAGTAACGGAGAAACTATGGGAGGAAAGGGATGTGGGTCTGAACCACACACCTGCTATCCAACTGGAATGTCTCCATCTCCATTGGATTTACACAGCAGCATGGCCACTCGTGGCAGGAAGGAGGGCCTTGCTTTAGTAGATCAACCCAGCACCTCTCCCTTGCTCAGTCTAGATTATGACTTCTACAATCACTGTCGATATCACAGTTGCTCCTGCCAGCAAATACTCAATAAGTATCGATATAGCACTAGAGAGAGGGTTCTAGGAGGCTTCAGTAGCAGGCAGACTAGCTAGTGAGGGACGAATTTAGGTGTCATGGCAAAAGGTGCTTGTGTTGAAAACTATGTGTAAATCCAAGGGTGCCGGCCCCAAATTGAGAACTGTTATGCTTCAGAGTCCAGGAATGTTCACTAGCATTGGCTCAAAAGAACCAAATTAAACAGATGAATACTAGTAGAAGCAGGATCTAAGGTTGATTCAGATGTGAAGAAGCAGAATGGATTTCACAGGAGACGCTAGGAAGAGACTTCAGTATTGGGAAAGTAAAATAATGAACACAGCACAAAAGTGCTGAAATCCTGGCTGGTCACAAACCAATGCTGCATCCGAGTCCTTGTGATAAAACAGGCTCTTGATACCACATTTTAAAAGGTGGTATTGGTGTGGAAAAAGACAAATTTATAATAGAACAGGAAAAAGAGAGATCTAAAAGTACACCCCACTTGAGCAAAAATCTGACATAAGAAAGAGCAATCATTTCATGTGGCCAATGGAGAGATAATTTTAAAATGTTGCTGATGTAGTGAGTTCATTACAAAAAAAACGCAATTTAACCCTACTTCATATAATTCCAAAATATCAATTCCAGATGGTACAGGGACTAAAATAGTAAAAACCAAAACATGGAATTATTTTTTGAAAGCATAGAAAAATATATTTTTACTTTTTCTTGAATATGTGAAGTTTTGAAAAATTATATATGACAAATCCCAGCCCTGGTTAAAAAGCTGGTATATTCTAGTGTATTAAAATTTAAAACTCTAATTTACCAATGGACATCATATAGAGAAACAAAGAGTAAGCCACAGATTTAACAAATATATTGGTAATACATATAAAAAGAAACTAGTAGCAAAACTAGATAACTCTAAGATAAAGAGATAACAAATTTGATGGAAGAATGGGAATAAAAAATGAACAAAATATACGAGGAAGCTTTAAAAAATGAAAATGCAAAAGGCCTGAAAATGTATCTAAAGATGTTTAATTTCTAGTTAATAATGGGAGTTTAGTTAAAATTACAATATGATCCTTTTTCATATATACCAGATTGATAGAAATGCAATCCTTCTTATTGATAGTGGTGATTTGGGGCAATAAAACTTTCACATGCATCTCTTATGTAAATATAAATTTTGGGGAAATATGGCATTTATCTAGAGAAGTCCAACATGAACATATGTTGTGGCCCAGCAATTTTAATTTCTAAGGAAATTCTTGCTCATATGCACAAGGCAACATGCACAGGAGTAAATACAGCAGCATTGTTTTTAACCCAAAATCAAATACGTATGACCCAATATCCACTGATAAGGGAATGTGTGCATACCTTATAGAATATTTATACAATAAAATGCTATGCAGCAATTAAAAGTAACCAATTATAGCTAGTCCTGCCAACATGAGTATATTTCAAACAATATTTTGAAAGAAAACCAGGAGAATTAAACAATATAAATCAATTTATATAATGATTTCATTAATCAATATAATTCAATTCATACCAAGAGATCTTACCTTTGTTAAAAAATAAATACAACCCTCAGCAAAAATCCAGAAATAGTACAAAATTGAGGACAACAGTTCTGAGATGAAGAGAGAGACAACAATGGAAATAGACCACCAGGGGCTCTCCAAGGGCCTGAGTGCTCTTCCGTGTCCAGTGTTTGCAGAGAGTGCATAGACGGTCACTATGTCATTCATTGAGCTGTACACAGAGTCATACACCTTTCAGCTGTCTTATACCTTTTGTAATAAAAAAAATCTAAAAAATGGGAGTGAGCGGGGAAGTGCTCTGCCCCCTGGAGGCTGCCTGGACACAGGGTCCTGTGGGAACTGGGGATGGCAAATGACATCGAAGGATGTGGTTGTCTGCAGTTTTAAGGGTGAAGCTCAGCCCTTATTTTCGTATCTGCTCACCTCTATGTTGGAGGATGCTGTAAAGTGGAGGAGGGAATAGAATTTGAGAACCAATTTTCAAGGAGAAGAGGAAAACAACATTCTAGACCTGTGAGAGTATTGTTGGCCAGGGCTGAGCACTCTCAGAAGAAGGCACGAGTGTGTTCAGAAGAAGAGGAGAATTTGGAGGCACATAGACACGTGCAGGGGGAGACAGCCACCTGAACATGAAGGTAGACACTGGGATGCTGCCATCACAAGTCCCGGAGTTCCAGGGTTGCTGGCAACCACCGGAAGCTATGAAGAGGCAAGGGAGGATTCTTCCCAAGAGAATTCATCAGGATCTTCCAAGTCCTTCAGTTTGAACTTCTAGAATCCAGAACTGTGAAAGAAGACCTTTCTGTTGGTCTTACACACCCAACGTCTTAAAGGTAGCCCTGGGAAATGAATACAGAAGTTGACTATGAAAACTGAAAATAAGTGAATGTTTTCCGCAGGGCCCTTCTATATATAAACTTGCCCATTGGGAAGATCGTGAGTGGGTAGAATACGGTAAGATCGAAAGAATGAGAGTCCAGTAGTGGTGGGGTCAGATGCTACAGAGAAGGGGTTCTTGAGTGCATGAGATTTAAGGAGAAACAGTAGCACCAGAGAGAAGGGTTTTTGAAATCAAAGTTTTGGCAGTAAAGGAAGAGCCCAAGTGTGTACTGGTGGCAGTAACCAGAGAAGTAGGTTTCTAGTTTCCCAAAGAGAGGTCAGGCGAAGGACAGTGCATGTGGTGTGGGGACTGCATGTAATGGTGTTCCAGGCCTAACGTGGTCATAGGTTAGGATGTCTGTGAAGGCTTAGAAATGAACCATGTTGCAGGAAGCACCCAGACTCGGTAACTCAGAATCTCACAGCTTCACGGCCCACTCCAGCAGCTGAATGCCATGGCATAAAAACTTCCCAGCTCATCCTAATGAGTAGGCAGGTTGTGATTCTTCATCACATCCCACCATAGTAGCATTGGAGATCAATATACATATCTATGTACAAAATTATTCAATAAATGAGAGAATATGAAACAAGTTTGCTTTGCAGCACAATAAAGAGTAGTAGATCTGGTGTGTCTTGATAGCATACACACCAAATCAATTTGGACTTGGCGGAAGCACGAAGATGACAATAGAAGGAAAGTAACGGACAACATTACCAGATACCTTAATTTACTTATGTATTATGGAAAATCAACACTCTCCATTTTAGAAAACTTTTCATAGGCATTTCCCTAAAATTCATGTATCACTTAAAATTTAACTGTAAGCTAATACATTATTATACCATTGTATTTTGAGGAATAAGACGCCATTTTTATGGTCACTTCTTAGATAAAAATACACAGACTTGTGTATTTAGTATCACAGAATTGTGCTTTGGAAGAGAGTTTCTGTATTGTTATACAGGAAAGTCAATTTACTGGAAAACTGCAAAAGCTTTGTGACTTAGTGTTCTCCACACTTGCTTTGCTCTTAGCCGCTGTGCACGGCTCACTTTGTTATGATACTTACAGTAGGGTCTACTAATGCTGTGGCATCTCTGATACCACTGCTCACCCCTTTAATATCTGAACTTACAGAAACTGAACGGGCCAAACAAGAAGTTGCTGATGTGTCAACCAAGAAAGGTAAATGTGGCATACAGAAAAGGATGTTGCGTCTAATATATTTATACTAAAGTTTCTAACTTACTGTATTGTTAAGTGTTACAGAAAAGTTTCATTTATTATTTTACTCTTTCACTGATATGAAAATAATCTCCCAAGATTCATATTTATGTCAACAAGGCGTTGTTTTTAGTGCTCTGCCTGGCACTAATAGTTTTATTTCTTTAGGGCCATAAGTTAATGCTAGCATTAGCAGTCAAATTATAAGTTAGGTGTTGAGGAATTATAGAAATATAACTGGTTACACTCAGCAGGGTTCCAGTCATCTTACAAAACTCACATGAAAATGATCACTGTGGAAGTAAACTGTGAAATTAGGAAATATAGTCTGTAAGATGCTGACAGAGGGACATTTTGCTTTAAGAAATATTGTGGAGTTTGGAATTAGGTCAGGATATATCCAAAAACAAAGGAGGTGTAGCTATGTGTGAAGGCCCTGGGTTCAATCCCTAGTGTAGCAAAAATACGTAGATGAATAAATAAAAAGTCAAAAAGAAAAGTTAGCAAGTTGATATTCAACATGCCCTCTCTCACACACGAAACTGCACACTCTTGCATGCGTATTCCAATAATAGGACTTAGCATGTTCTTTTAAAAACTGGTTTACTACATATGTTGTAAAAGAAAACATACATCAAAAACGTAGAGAGATGTGATACATATGACACTTATGCTCAATCCCAAATTATATATAAATGTATATTAGTTGAAATACATATATATGGGAAAACAATGAAAATTAAATGATACTTAAAGTAAAATATAAAGAGTACTGTAAGGTAATAATTAGAATAAATAGAGTTTTTCAAATTAATGGGTGCAGTATTTCAAATACACCTCTGTTACTCTGAACATATAGATGAAAATAAAATCAGTGTATGTCATTTCTTTTCCTAATAACCTAATATTATTATTATATTTTGGACATAAGTGATCACAACAAAAATGTGTCATTGATATTATTTCACCATAAGTGGCAGAGCCACGAATACATTAGAAGCCCATGTTAATATGTCTCCAATGTAGTATAATATCCTGAATTTGACATTCCTCAGAGATATGAAGTGGAAAGTGAAGAAAATCTGGGTACTTCAAAGTGGTTAGTTCCACGGTATTATGCAAAGGTTAAGTAAGGGCCAGAAGGTAATTAATCTAGGCACAGATACCTGCTACATTCAAGTAGGAGCGAGACTTAGGGCCAGGGCATTGGCAAAAGTTAAATGAAGAATGAAAGTAAGGCCAAGCTGTGCTCAAACTCTGCAGCCAGAGATACGATCAGCTCCTTGTCCCAGCAGCAGTAGGTGGTTTTCTTTGGAGATTAGATTTAAGATGCCAAACCTCAGGAATCCATACTGTGGAAGCCAGCCTGGAAGCATTGAAAACCAAAGACTGGACTCCTGGTAGCTGACCACGGCTCAGGCAGAGCCACTTGCAGCCTGGGTATTTAGGGTGTAGTTCCGTGCACACATACTTTGGGGATCAGTCAGGTCAAATTGGAGAGAACCATGAAATAGGATTGAAATCGAACCATCAAATGACTGAATGCACCAGAGTCTTCAACTTGGAAAGGGCCCTGAGTTCAGAGTCTTGCCAAATATTTTGCTTGGGATTAATAGGCTGGCTGGCTATGTAGAGAGGCATGAAAGGAGAGAAGCAATCTGCGAACTTCAAACATGGGAACCAACAACTTAATCTTGGATTAATCTTATACTGCATGCATCTCACCTCAATTCTTATTCTAAGTGTGGATCTGTATATTGGCTTTGCCTATCATTATAGCAAGAAGAGAAACAAGTGTTCTTTCAAAACTGTCATAGATGTTTTGAAACTCAGGTAGGGCTTCATCAATTTGACAAATTACAAGCAGAAATTAAAGGGTATTTTTCTCTTTTGTCTACCAGTATGCCCAATTCCTGACATTCTCTCCCTGAGATGCCCATGTAAATTTTAATACTTTCATATACTTTCATCATAGATTTAGTGCCCAGCCCCAAAGCCCACACTTAGCAAACTTCACAGCATGTCACCGTCTAGTCTTTTACAAGAATGAGAAAATAAATAGAGGATGTTTCTCTGTCCGTGACATTAGAAAACTGTCCTCTAAGACTTGAACTGAGAACTGTGTTCAATATTAAGTGGGAAATATTGATTTGATTATTTTCAAATTTTCCATTACAGAATGATTCATATTTTAATTTAACTGCATTGTGCTAATTTATACCTTATATAAATTGTTTTATCTTAAGCCTTTTAATTCATATTTTCTTTGGAAATACATAGTATTTGGTTATCCACATGATATAATTTATTTGTTTTGCACTTTGGTATTTTCTATTCATTTTTTCTTTCATTCAGCATATATTTATGGATAGCAATACATGTAAAATCAAGGAAAGATATGAGTTATATGACTTAATATCATTCTGAAGCAATTAAAATACTGGAAAAATATGATCTTAATATATTGAGTCCCTAAGCCTCAAAAGCTGAGGCTTAGTTATCAACAGAAAGCTTTCTATATGACTGTACTTCAAGGCTGACAGCATTAAGTTCATTCATTTAGATGAAGTACATAGACATTTAAAAATTATACTTTCCTGGGGAAATAAAAAGGTTTACTATACACAGTAACAGACCAAGGCAAGACTTAAGAATTTCCAGGACGTGGATGTGGAACAGGAAGAATCTAGGAAGGGTCCCATTGGCCAAGATGGAATTTTTGTCCCTGTCAGAGAGGCTCTGGCTGCTGTTTTCTCGCTGCATCAGTGGGACCATTCCAGTCCTGACATAACTAAAATGTTCAGTGGCTTTTATCATATTGCATCTTCTTTAAGCCTCTGATGTTGGGTTACTATGACAACATATTATTAGATCTCCCATATTCTCTACCTTTATTTCTATGCGTCTTGGACATTTTTACCTTGTTGCCCCTTCCTTGCTGGTGTTCCCCAGATTCCAATACTAATTCTGACCTTCTTGATCTTTAACTGCACATTGTGAGATGTATTTATTCTCAAGATTGCAGCTCTGCCCATTTCTTGAGGATGCCAGCTCTATCTTCATTTCAGGACTTTTCCATGCCTTTCAGGTTCTGTTTTCTGTTCCACTGCCCAGAAAACACTCTCAAATTCAACCTTTCTTAACCTAATTCCTCAATCCTTCTTTCCAACTTAACTTTTATGCCTCACCCCACTCCTTATTAGCAACTGGAGATGATCCTTGATTTTTCTTTATCTCCACTACCTGACTGTTCAAGGACTCTTAAAGTTCTGATGATTTAACCCTCTCAATATTTCTTTAATATATTTTTCTTGTGTTCATGAACATGAATACCATTGTGACGCAAGTCTTCCTTATCCCATACATGCATCAGTGTAAGACCTCACTCTTCTCCTCATGGCCTGTAGAGTCCAAGCTTGTTAAAAGGTAAGATGGCAAATAGAATCCCATATGACCCCATTTCTTTATCCCTTCCCACTGACCTATCTTGTACTCTACAATAGTACAATTGTCCACAACTCCAAAATACCAGAAACAAGATTATTAAAAAGTGGCAGTAGGAAGAATAGCCTTATGAATAGATTGAGAATTGATGTAAACCACCATAATATATATCCAGGGGCACAATTAATATAAGACATTTTCTCTAACTATTCTATTGTCTCAATCTTTGTCATTTGCAAATATTGCCTTTAAAAAAATCTGAACAATTTTGGACTGGTTACTTAAACACATATCTATGGCATTCATAGCTCATTATGCCAAGGATATGGGTGTGCACGGTGTGTAATATGCCAGTCATGTGAGAGTGACACGCAGGGAACATTTCAGCTATATAATTCTTCCTTACCAGCACTCCTTCCCTGAAATTCTGAAATACTGCACCTCCAGGTGAGTCTCCACACAGGTGCCAGTTCCCTGCTAGTGGAGTTATGTCAAGGTCTTCATGGTTGACGAAGGGCAAGAAAGAAGGGATGTAAATTGTGTGGGACATGCAGATTCATAAGGATCATTTAGGAGAAGAATAAAACCACAGAGCAGGAACTACAGAAAACCAACCTTTCCCCTCCCAGGTGGATGGATCATGCCTACGTCTCACCCAGCCATTCCACCTGGAGAGTGCAGGTATCTGTACTTTGTTCCATTCGCATTGGTTGTGAACTCTGAAGTGGTGCAATAAAAATCTGTTTTTCTTTCTTTTGTTCCACCTAAAATAAACCCCTACAAAGGTAGAGCAAAGAAAATGTCTACCTTTGATGACAAAGGAGATTTCAGGCACCTAGTGGTAGAGAAGGAAAATTTGGTTAATATCTTCTTTTGATTGCAGTTAGAAAATTCTCTCACTTAGATGAGGTGTTTATTCCTAAGGTTTATTCTTTATAGAATTTGGCTTGATAAATTTTTCATTAGAATCGGATATAAAAGGATCAAGCTTTAATGTAAAATGGCATTTTTCTGTGTCAATAATCGCTATCTTCAATGACCTTTTCTGATTAACAAAAATAAATAAATAAAAGCTTTAGGAAACTAGATTCCTTTATTTAGTATGAAAGCTAGAACTATTAGCCCATTGTTGAAAAGAAAATGCAACCTTTACGAATAAGTCACTTCCAATTGCTTTCTGAGATACTTCATCTTCAGAGGATTAAAATAAAATAATTGAAAAATCTGTATTTTCTAATGAATCTCCTGAATAAGAAAATTTGAATAAGAATATATAACCACGTGATTCTATCATAATACAAATGATCAGCATTTTATTTCCATGGCGATTTGAGTGGGGACTTTCTCAGAAGAGGCCAGGGCAGGATGAAGTCTGACTAACTTGCCTTTTCCAGTTCTGGCCATCACCCTTGCCTCTATTTTAGAGGATCCACTCCTCCTCTGTGGAACCCTCTCTTCTAGATAAATTTGTTCAATTCCCCTGGGAACGTCTAGGCTTGTCTGACCCTTTCCCTTCACATCTATTGGCTTCATCTAAAATCTCTCCTCTTCCATGAAAATTATCCCAAAATTTACCCCTTTTCTCTGTCAACTTAGAATATTGATCAAGATATCCCATCTTTCAGTCACTACGTCGAATCATCCAACAAATCCACATTGCCTCCTAATTAGTTCAGAACCAACATCAGATGGTAAATGTCAGGGACACCTTTCTAAGTGTCTCCTGGGTCAAAGAAAAAAACGAAAACAGGACATTGAAACTTGAGATGTAGCTAAACAGTATGCAAAGTGAATTTTATACTCCCATTATAAAAATTAATTTAAAAAGAAGGGTGAAATCAAACATCTGAAAGACGAAGATTTTTTTCTGAAATGCAAAAAGTAGCACCAAAAAGTAAAAGGAAAAAACATAGAAATTGAAAAGCAAAAGCCAATAAAAAAGAAATCAAAGAGTTCAATGAGGGAGTAATGAAACCCAAAATCAATTCTCTATAAAAACAATAACATTGATAGATCCACAATGAGCATTTGAAAAACATATTTCCACTGGACAACAGAAAAATTTAAATGATACCACAACTCATTACTACTACATACTTACTAGAAAGACCAAATTTTTTCAAAAGGATATTAGGATTGTGCCTGTTAATTTTTTTTGTTGCAATGTGATAGAAAAATCTGATTTCAGTCTCCATCTTTGCATTTGTTAAGATTCCTGTTATTCCAGAATCTGACTAGTAGTATCTGCAATTATAGAGATGTCTTAGCCATTTCCTCTTTAAGTAGTGCTTCTTCTTCATTTTCTCTCTTCTTCTATTTAAAATCAAATTAGATTTATATTGAAACTCAATCCCTCTTTTGAATTTGCTTACTTTGTGTCTATTTCCAATGCTTTTATTTCTGTTGGATGAATTCTGGATATTTCTTCAGGTATCTATTGCCAGTTCAGTATTCACTCTTTAGCTGTGTCTAAACATTCTACCTTGTATTTTACTTATTTTTCTTTGTCAAATTTAAATCGATGTTTAAAAATGAGTGCCACAGCAAGACTGGAAGAATGAATAGGAGTTAGTCAACACAGGAAGCGGCATTGTATTTAAGGCAGTGATAAATAAAATAATAACAGCTTCTATTTCCTGAGTGTTTGTTTGCCACAACTGATTTCTTTACATTGCTTCACCTGTATCTTGAAACACCTATAATAGCTTTATCTGCACTTTTAATTTAATAACGGCTCCAGTTTTAATACTGTGCTACTGTGCATGCACCCCAGGCAGCTCTTCAGTGGCAGCACTGGACCGTACGCACCCAGGCCCTTGAACCTTCTCAGGTACAAGATTCCTTTAGCAGGACCGGGACTGTGCTCATTGGAGACCATGCACAGTGCTTGTCTGGCCATAACTGATCTCCTGGAATCCCCCTCTGAGCATGTAGGACCCTGCCCTCAGGCCAACACCGAAGCCACGCTGCCCCCCTCCCCAGTGCCCTAACCCCCCTGACTGTGATTTAACAATCACAGCAAAATGAGAGGCTCAGCGCTCGCTGGCATGTGTGCTAAGGTGCCTTCCTTTTTGTGAGATTTTGTGAGGCTCATACATATTGATTATCATTTTAATTCAATATTTTCCTCAATTCAGAGTCAGATGCTTGGCTGTATTTTGGATCATTCCTTGGATAACCCATTGGTGGTTTTCCTTAAAATATACGGTTTGTTACTAACCAGTTCAAGTTAAATTTTATATGACTTTTTAGAAGTAGATGTATTCAAAGGTGAAATTTGCCACTGCTTTCTTAGTACTTAAACTCTTCCTTCCTTATTTCCCCTCAACCTTTTTTTCCTCCCTCTCTACATTTTCTCTTTCCCTCCCTCCATCCACCCTCTCTCCTTCCTCCCTTCCTTCCTTCCTGCTTTATAACACTGACTCCTTGAAAATATCAAGGCCATTCACCTTTTAGACATTCTTGATTCTTCTAATTTTTTCTTCAGAGTAGCTCTTAGCATGTTCTCATCCTTTGAATGAGCTGGATTCCAGTCAGATACTTCAGCCTGAGCATCAGGGGGGCTGCTGTGTGCACCATGCACCATCTGGTCAGGGAGCATGAGATAACTAGATGTCCCATGTGAATGAATGGTCCCAAATGTCCACTGTGGGTGTCACTGATGACAGCCAGTTACTCGTTTCCAAGTTCTGTTTCTCCTCCTGGAACTCTGTGGTGTGATACTCAGATGTGATAGCAATATTCACTTGCCCATCAGTCCTTCATCTAATATTTGGTAATAACCTCCAAACAATACGACTTGATTCAATTATTTCAATGAGGTACACTGATTTTGTGTGAATAATTTCTACTGTTTTGCTGTTTAAAGACGTAGCAATGAAGGCTCAACCCAGAGCAATAAATCATAGACAAGTCATAACTGAGCGAATACAGCACTTAAATGATTCTGTTATTTCTCTTGGTACTCGTGATTTGGGATGGGTTCGTTTAATATTTACATGGATCTCAACCATGACAACACTGTCCTTTCCATTGATTAAGCATGTTTAAGCTTCAATTTAGAGGAGCATCTAGCTGACATTTCAAGCACTGACTCCAGAAATAACGTGGGATATAAGTCAGTTAATTACAGCCCTGCCGACCAGAACTCTTCATAGAGCTTGTTTATCAAAGCAGAGCATAAAGGGATAAAATGGGAAAGTGTGGAGAAGCCAGTCAGAAGATTGCAAAGCTTTAATGCTTTTTCTCTAACTCTTTAAGATTAGATTTAAAATAGGTTTCAGTTGCGCTAGAGAGCGATGAGGAATGTTTACAAAGCATTACAAATTTTCTGTTTAGAAGAAGTATGGTGTTAAAGGAGTTCCAAAATGCTGTTTGAGCAGAAGAAGTCTGTCTGACTGGAACTCTTACTTGAAACCTTATCTTTTTTTGCAGCTGCACCTGGAAAGAAGGAAGAGAAAACAGTCAAGACCGTGGAGCAAGGTAAAAAAAAATGAAGGAGGTTGACATTGTCTTCTTTAGAAAGACAACATCATGCAGAGCAAAGCCCCGGATTCAGACAGGCGGAAGACAATGCCCTTAAAACCTGTCTCTCCACTCCCTGTCCTCATGTGTGTTTCTGGGCCAGGGAGAACGGGAGGCGCCTTCTAGGTTTGTCTTTCTTTTGTGTATTGAAGCATGCATATAAATCAGATAGGAAAACTCCTCAGACTGTTACACCTGAAGATTGTTAGGAATAAGAAAGTGAACTGGGGCAACCGGTAGATGTCCTTCTGTTGGATTTTTGGCTTCAACACATGCTCACTGATCATATTTAGCAAAACAAAGAGAAGTCAACTCTGTTTATGCCAGGACAATTTAAATTGCTTGCAAAATAGTATGTAAAAGTTAAAACACAGGAGGAAAAGCAATACCAAAAAAAGTTGTTTAAGTTTATACGATGACTTCCACTATCGATTCTAAGGGTCTGAAATTTCAATGTTATAAATTATAATGCCATAAAATTGTTACACACTTTATTTTAATGCAACTATAACAAAATTGGGTCTAAGTAGAATATGCTTGAGAAACAATGGTGCAGCAAACAGACTGAGGATATTTGAAATGATATTGTGCCTTCTCTCATGGTTCTGAGAGTGCCATCATTTTAATTTTTATTCCCCACCCTTCTCCTTTCTATAGGGTATTATTACATTTATTATTTTTACAACAAAATCAGAACTGGCCATAATTTTATTAAGGGAAAAGTCAAAAATAATTCCTCGTCTGAAATTTGAGATGCAATTAGATTCCTAATATCCAGAAGATAGACTTTTTGATATATATTTACAGGAAAATACCTCATTTCCTCACGTTTTCTGATAAGTAAAGTAAGGTTAAAGATTCTATTAAAAGATTGTGTGAGGATTTAGTTCCTTGTGCTTTCAAAATAAAATCACACTAAAATTGCCTTGGCAAAGATTTCCAATTTGTTTTAGCTTCTGAGTACCACTTGAAATTACAGAATTCAATAGAATATTTCTACCATCACCTTTTTGAAGAAAAGTGGATGTTTTAATATCTGGAATATAAAGCAGGAGCACTGTGTCAACTTGTTCACTTATGTAAGTTTCTGGACCTAAATTTCTTCTTTAAAAATTAATATAACCATACAAGCCCTGGATATCTGACAAGTTATTACACAGGTCAGTCAGTAAAGCACTTTTATAATCAGTATGAAAAAATTACAAATTACTGAACATGCATATACTACTTAGTTTTCTTGGGAAACCATTGTCAATACAGCTGAGATAAAGTGCGGTGCTCTGATCCTCTGAGTGTCATAGTTTTGTTTCCCTCCAGTGTAACGGTGTCGATGGCTCATGGCACATGAAGAGAGGACTGACTTGATTCCAAATGCCCACACTAACAGTGCTAGTACTCAGCAGATGACTGATCTGAACACTGATTGTTTTACCTCCTCTTATCTGCATGTTATTATCAGTTTCATTAATGATGTTTCCTCAAGTGGATAAAAGCCTGGAAGCCGTTCTTCAGGATGTGAATTTACTCTTTCAGGTGGTTTTATAATTATTTTATCTAATATCACCTGTTCTCTTATGAAAACTTAGCCTCTTAGTATAAAAACGAAGAGGTTCTTTCAGTGGCTCTTATTGATTTAGTAAATCATTTCAGTTTTAATTATTGTATGGCAGTGCCCTCATATTTTTCAACTATAAAAATAATAAGAAATAATGTATTGGGATTATTGTTTGCTTTGCAATGGTATGTCCTTGACTAACAGATGATATGAAAATTGGTATAGTAAGACTTTACTAAAGCAGGAAGTTTGTGGGAATAAGTAGCAAATAATTACATTTTACAGATTTTATTGTAGGATTCTAATATTTATGCATAAAACGATGCTTTAAGACTTTGTATGCTTTTCTTCCTCATGTAATTTTAGTTACCTTCAGAAATATAAATAACCTAAGAATATTTCATAATGCATTGAAATACAATTAAATAGCCATCTTAGATATATTATCATTCACTTCAACTTGAACTTTCTACTTTATTATGGAAAAATTATAATTTTTATTTCTTAATAGATTTCAGGTATACTTGGTGATCTAAATTTTTAATTTAAACCTCTGGATATATTCCTCATTACACATATAAATAGAATTATTAACTAAGCTAAACTTTATGTCATGGGAAATTCACACTGTAAAAGGTGGAATGAATTTTATGTTCAAACAATTTAGCAAACTAGAACCCATAACATGTAAGTAGAAATGTAGTTTAAGTTCTGTGGAACTCCAAAAAAAATTGTTTTACCTCTAGCTGATGATGAATCAAACATTTTTCAATTATTCTCCTCATGAAGACCTAAAATTGGTTAAAATACAGTTTTGACTATTATGAAACATTTTATAAATTGTTACACTGTAAAGACAGATCACACACACATGAATGCAAACACACACCATTAACTGTTTCTACTTTAGGAAGCAAGTACTTGGAACTGTCAGGACACTTCCCTTACAGTACATGTTTTCCACAGTAAATATGGCTATCCTTGCAGGGAGCACCAAGGAAAGCTAAAGATAAAACTTTGCAAAGTATGCTACCCGAGGGCCATTCGTTTGTAAATCTTTATATACATTTGTATTTCTTGAAAAAAGTAAACTGTGTTTCAGTAATGCGGTGACTTGTTTTTGCAAGTTGCTTATGTGTTAATATTTAATTTCTCATATTTAGTTACGTATTTTCCTATTGGTACTCCTCAAAATCACCCTGTGATCCTCAATTCTATTTTCCTGTCTCATTCTCTCTCTCTCTCTCTCACACACACACACGTGTACACACACACACACACACACACACACACACAGATGAACATATCTGAGAAGTCTGGTTTGGTGCTACTTGAATGGGAGGCAAAACAGCCACTCCATAGACACATTGTGAGGCATGGAAAAGCAGCCAAAGCCATCAGCCAGAAAGCCTAAACTGTAGGTCTGGAGTCCATAGCATTTCTTTGTTTCTACACTTGATCTTAACCAAAAGGCCGAGAAGCAATTCATTTCCTTATTCTTAATTTCCTTCCTTTAAAGTGACTTAAATCCATCTGTGAAAACATGATAAAGGTATTTATAAATTAAGTTAATTATAGATCTTCTTTCTTTTGCCTTCTCTCATCCATCCTCATGTGTGGTATTACTTGAGGCTTCCTTTAGAATTCCTTCTAAGCTCCCATAACAGGGCCTGCATACAGTAAGTGTTCAATAAATACTTGTGGTTTGAAAGTAAACAGAGAACTTACTGAAGAAGGGAATATTAGGCAATGCAGATTTTAACACACTGTGTTATGAAAGGAATATTTTCATAACTCAGAATGAGACTTCCAATGTTGAAGATAAACACATTTTAGAAACTAGAGGTGATTAAGCTTTTCCTTTATCCCCTTTAAATTAGAATGAGTAGACAAAATTAATAATTCAATATCACTCATTGTGTCATTTTTAAATGATATTTGTAATTGTTACCCTTAAAATTATGTGATAAACAGAGATATAGACAAAGATATTGAAAACTAAATTTTAGTAACTGCAACTATCATATTGTGAAATTATTTTAAAAAGATAAAATGAGAAAGAAATTTAAAGAATTAATCAAGAAAGTCAACAAATGTCTCTAAATTCAGAACACTTTGGAGTTATCCTGTGCTTTGCTTTCTCATTTACATAACTAAGGAGCTAAATGAAAGTATCTCTTAACACCTTTTCCACATGTAAAAAATTTCTATTCAACAGAGTTTTTAAATAATATGTGTTTTACTTCAAAATATGGAGGCTACTTTTTAAAGGAGGAGGACTAGTTTAGAAAGACTTTCAGATTCTAAGATTCAAATGCTAAGGAATATCACACTATTAGCATAAATACTGATACTTCAGGATCTTAAAATTTAGTCAAAAGGAATATTTCAGAATATTTAGCGTTAATTGCTTAACAATTAAAAGTCACTTCAAAAATCCAGTTTAGTAGAAGCGTGACAAATTTAAGAAATTAAATAGAATTTGATTGCCTATAATGAAGAATAAATTTGAACACAATTGCAAATATTTAGCTCAGTGGTTCCGGTGCCTGCCA